AAGTTGTCTATATATTTGGAACGATTTTTTTTCCTCTACATCTTTTATTGAAGCATATTTCCTCCTTTAGGCGACCACTTTTATGAAAATCCTTGTTTAATAAAACTTTTTTCCATTTTTTTTCAGTTTTTACTTATAAACTTTTTATTAACTAAAAAAAATAACAATTAATGAGATTCTAGACATGAATCATATTTTTAGGTAAACCGTAAACTTTAGCAGCTTCTTAGTTTTTAAAATAATCCAATATGGCGGCTAACGCTGGCGTGGGATGTCATGGTATTTTTAGTATATTGTTCTGGTTACATATCTTTACGTTTCACCAATGTTCAGCTTTTATCTAATTACTTCCGTTTAAGCTCCTAAAGTTCCTGGGCTATTAATCTAATCTGACGTTGACTTAACCTAACCTTGTGAAATACTTAGTGGATAACCTGAAGATTATCCCCCCCCCCCCCCCCAGTATATTTCATCTTAAGATTAACCACCCAAACGCTATCCTAATCTAATATGACTTAACCAAATCTTTTGTAACCTAATGCTGCCGTAACTTAACCTAAACTAATTAAACTTAATCTTGCATAGACTAACCTCACCTAATATAAGCTAACCTAACGCTAACCTAACACTAGCCTAACCTAATACTGATAGTGATTTAACCTAACACTTACCAAACTTTGCCTATCCTATTGTAACCTGAATTAATGTTACATAACGTATCCTAACCTAACTTAACCTAACCTAACTTAACACTAACATAATCTAACACTAACCTAATCTAACACTAACCTAATCTAACCTATCCTAACACACTTAATTTACCTAACGCTAACCTAATTCTAATCTAAACTAATCTAATCACTTAGGTATCGTTGGAGTGTTTGATCATGAGGTGAAGTATGCTGGGGTGACAAATCTTGAGTGACCCCTGACCTTAGTATCACAGGTAGACCGTTACCATATGTTGTAATGATAAAGTCGGTCAGGTAGAGACACTGGCCACCACGTCACAGTGATAAGAGTTCTCATGGACTTATGTTATAGTGTCATGGTTATGGTGACCAGGAGTTGACCGGGAGTAATGTACGTAGAGATATTAGATGGATAAACTAGTGCATGCAAACAGCTCAGAGGTAGTAGGCAGCTATCAAACGGGGCCTGGACAAAAGCCCCCGAGGACAAAAGCCCCCGAGGACAAAAGCCCCCGAGGACAAAAGCCCCCTAGGACAAAAGCCCCCTAGGACAAAAGCCCCTAGGACAAAAGTCCCTCAGTAAAAGTGCAAAATAGGACAGAATCCCCCTGTTTTTATGTTAAAGAGAGGGTCATTAAAAATAAAAAAATATAGAGATTTAAATATGAAATTATTACAATTTAAATATTTAGAATATTATAACTCTTTCAATTTTGATAAGGAACATTATTAAATAAATAGAAAAAAAAGACATGTTTTACCTTCATGATTTTTCTTTTTTAGATTGTCCCGGAGGGGGCTAGTTTATTGGGCACCACCTTACATCCTGTGCAGAAGCACAGAAGCGTTTACAGCGCCCATCTGGGAAGCATGCGGAGTTCATGCTTGCCTTTATGACTCATGCATTAAGGGCGTAAAAGCCTGAAGGGTCATAGGTTTTGTCAGCAAGTTTCATAAAGTGACAGAATGATGAGTGTGTGGGGGGAAAGTTCCCGGTACATTTCATCTGTTTATGGCAAAGCACAACAGGCCCCTAATAATGTCAAGTGCCAGGCCTGTCACTAGGGGGAGGGATATCTGGTCAGGGAGGGAAGTGGTGTTGGTAACGGCTGGGGACCTGTAGGAGGAGGTCATAGGGCAAGAGAGTTGTACACTCCTCCATACAAATGTTTGCCGATGATGGCAAGTTATTTCGGGAAATTAAGAACCAAGCGGACTGTGAAGAGCTGCAGAAGGACCTCTGTGGGCTCCAGGAATGGTCGAAGAAATGGCTGTTGAGATTCAATGTCACGAAGTGTAAGAGGATGCACCTGGGGCGTACCAACGGTAAGGAGGCGTATCATATGTCCCAACGGGATGAAGAAAATGCACTAGTTGAGACTGTGTATGAGAAGGACCTAGGTGTGTATGTTGACAATGAGCTGAAGTTCTCGGGCCATTGTGAGAAGAAGGTAAATCAGGCAAATAAATTATTGGGTCTTATAAGAAGGTCGTTCAGATATTTAGACGGTCCGTCCCTCGTGACGATCTTCAGGAGTGAAGTGCTTCCCCATCTGGAGTACTGTCACCCCATCTGGTCCCCGAGATATGCTAGGGACTGTCAGTTGGTTGAAAATGTTCAAAGGAGGGCCACCAGACTGGTGCCTGCACTTCGGCACCTCAACTACCCTGAGAGATTGGAGCGCCTGAACTTGCCTAGCTTATACTACAGACGGGCAAGGGGGACCTAGTTGAGGTGTATAAGCATCTCAGGGGGCACTACTCAGTTGAGTGTCCTTACTTGGAGCTGGCGGACGCTCGCCCCACAAGGGGTCACAGCTCAAGATTGAAGAAGCCGCAAGTCCAGAAAACCGTGAGGGCAAACTTTTTCGGAGTGAGGGTTGTAAACTCTTGGAACAATCTACCAGAGAGTGTTGTGACGGCACCGAGTGTGAGCTCTTTCAAGAGAAGACTTGATCAACACTGGAGCGGGTTCAGGTACATTCAGGAGCCGGTGCATGCCCAGTATTTGCCAACAGTGCGTGACAGAGACGTGACCGAAGAGGATAAAAAAAAAAAAAAAAGTGAGGATATAGTGACGGAGGGTGTGAGAGTCGGGTTGGCCACAAAGTTTACAAACAGTGCGGCCAGGCTCAGGGTTGCCAATGTACTCCCATAGGTACCTGTACCCTAGGCGTAGTCTCATGTACATAATCTGTTGACGTCGAGTCAGGGATTTTATTTATTTATTTTTTTATTTTTTTATTTTTTTTTTGCCCCCACCCTACATCCTTGTGTAAGGTGAAGTGTAGAAGCGTTTACAGAGCCCAACAAGGAAGCATGCCAAGTTCATGATTGCCTTATGTCTCATGAGTTAAGGGCGTAGAAGCCTGAAGAGTCAATGGTTTATGTCTAAGCAAGTTATTGGAAGCTCCAACAACTTGTCCCTGAATACGAATTCGCAACTTTCGATTTACAGCAGGTACCTACTTTACTGCTAGGTGAACAGGGACCAAGGGGGCTAGGAAGAGTGTCCAAATAACTTCCGCCGGCCCGGAAATTGAACCCGTGACATCTTGCTTGCAAGGCAAGAGCGGTACTGCTCTACCACCAGCGCCCCGAGTCAGGGATTGTTCATTCTGTATTTACTGAGGTGACCCAGTGAGGTCATTGAATGTCAGGGGAGCAATTACCCCCGTAGACAAAACATACGTAAGTGTAGATTTAATAAACATTCCTTGTATACTTCTTTATAATTAAAACAGAATTCCCGAAGGTTAGGTTAGGTTAGGTTAGGTTAGGTAAGGTTAGGTTAAGTTAGGATAGGTTAGAGAAGTGTTCATAAACTGAAAAAAAATAATTATTTTAAAAATTATTTTTATTTTTCCTGGGGGGCTTTTGTCCTATGGGGCTTTTGTCCTAGGGGCTTTTGTCCTAGGGGGCTTTTGTCCTACATTCTGTCAAACAGGGAGGTACTACCGCCTGGGAAGATATTGGAAGCTTAATGTGTTGTCTAATGGTAGACCCTGCAGCCATATGGCATCACAAAAATTGTGACCAAGTCCCAGGTTGTTGATCTGTCATTCTGCCTCATTTACACACAATTGCAGGGTGTCAATTGTTTCTCTTACTATTGACAACACAACATACATATATTGTTTCTCGCTATCTTTTTTTTTCTTTGTGGTTCTTTATTGTTATTATTATTATTAGTTACATTGCTGTAATTATTATTATTATCATTATTATTTTATTATTTTATTTAAATTTTTTTATTTTTTGTTATAAATTTCATTTAATATGAATTATTATTATTATTATTTTTTGTTGTTGTTATTATTATTGTTATTATTATTACATTTTTGCCCCCCAGGCCCCGATGTGGGTCGGTGACCTGTGCCCAGTGGGCTAATCCCCCTTCAAAAAAAAGGCATACACACACATACATACATACATACATACATACATACATACATACATACAGTACATACTGTTACGACCGTGTCGTATTTTTCTATTATTTTTTATAACATGCTTCAATGTTGTTCCATATTATTCCTGTAATGATGTGTTATATTTACTATTATATATTCTACTCACCTTACTCTGTGCTGTTAAGGTTTTAACTGTCATTATTTGTTCAAGCCCATCTTATTTCTTCATTTAGTATTGTAACCTGCATTCTTTGTTTCTCTAACGACCATCAGCATCATTAAACGACCCATGTTTCACCGGCGTGTCGCACTGGTGGGAGCCGACCTTATATATAGTACCCACCAGCAGACGGAGTTCAGTCCAGTCCTCTTGTCATTCAGTTCACGTTCTTTTGAGTGACACCCGTCACCTGTTACTTATACTTTATTTTATTTCTGTGTTGTTCCTGTCGCCACCAATGTGGTATATCTATGTGAGTACCTATTCATGTCTCTTATGTGTCCATCAGTGCTTGCTTAGTTACATTTAAGTAATTCAGTGTTGTTTCACGATAGTTAATTTCAGTGTTAGTTATTTTCTGTTTATGTAGTGTTAACGTATTCCAATGCTTTATTTTTATTCTTTTGATGTTTCGATGTTTTAGTAACATTTGTGTCTTAAAAGTTTCGATAGTGAATCAATTTGTTGTGACAGCCTACGAGGCTCTTTATTGTGTTAGTATTTAATTTAATTAAATTCTTAAAGGTTTACTTTATTTATTTTTATTCCCTTTTGATTTACTTCACTTTTTTTTGTTTGGTACATACAGATAGATAAACTAATAAACAGATGCATATGTAGATAGACTGACAGACAAATAGATAAACAGACATATACTGTACAGTATATACTCACCCTAAATTCGGAGAGGGGGTAAGTAGGACCCAAGAGGCTGGCGAAGGGGTAGCGCTTGTGGTGCTTGTTGAGGAAGGTGACGGCCTGCTGCAGGTGCTCACCCGTGTAGTTGTGGACACCTGTAGGACACACACACACATCTGAGGCATTATGACCAAGTGGAGGGGGTCAAGAGGTGGAGGTTATAACAGCCAGGGTCATTACATACTCTCTCCCTTATCTCTCATCTATTCCTTCCCTATCCTCTTTATCTTTCTCTATCTCATCTTTCCTTCCCTATCACGTCTCTCCTTCCCTATCTTGTCTCTCCTTCCCTATCTTATCTCTCCCTCTCTATCTAATCTCTCCCTCCCTGTCTCTTCTCTCCTTCCCTATATCATCTCTCCCTCCCTATCTCCTCTCTCCCTCCCTATCTCATTTCTCTTCCTATCTCTTATATCCTTCCCTATCCCAGATAATTTTATTTTCCCAATCTCATATTTTCTTCCGTTTCTCATCTTTTCCTATCACATCTATCCCTCCCTATCTTATTTCTCCTCCCTATCACTTCTATCCCACCCTCCCTCGTCTCTATTGACTTCAGAATATCTCCTAATATCAAGTGCACATGGCTTTCAAATGGCCTCCAAATGCCCATTATATTGGTCAGATTTAATAAAATCTTGGGGGGCCTTGCGCCACCCTCAAACCCCCCAGCTGGGTGGGCTCGCTGCTCTGCAATGTTCCCTCGACACAACTTCTTGGACCCCCCTTTTGATATTCCTGGATCCGCCCCTGCTTCTCCCAAAGGATATATTGTTGGACAAAGGAAGGCTACAGGTAGGAGAATAAATCGTGGTGAAGTTTACCACCGAGATTATTATAAGGTATTGGCCAGTAGGGTTAAGACCGAGATAAGAAAAGCAAAGAGGAATAATGAACTGAAGGTAGCAAGGGAGGTGAAGTCAAACCCCAAGGGATTCTTCCAAATGTATCAAAATAAAACACGAGACAAGATTGGACCAATACAGTCAGATACCGGCGAGCTAACGGATAACGATGGAGCAATAATGTGAACAGATATTTTTCAACAGTTTTCACCACAGAAAATTTAATCATGATACCCGAAGCACCAACTACAGTATATACAGAGATAGTGAAGAAAATAGATTAAGCGTGATACTGGTGATGAGTAATGATGTTAGTAAGCAAATAATCAAGCTAAAGCCTAATAAGTCACCAGGTCCCGGTGAGATATTTGCCAGAGTATTAGAAATTTGTTTAACATGTAATTAAAATCGGGTGTAGTACCAAAATCCTGGAGGATTGCGAATGTGATACCGATTTTCAAGAAGGGAGATAAATCACTATCCTCTAACTACCGTCCAATAAGTTTAACACCAATTGAAGGTAAATTGCTGAAGCAATAATTTTAAACTCTATACGAAATCACCTGGAGAAGGGCAAGATGTCAATGATTTCCAACATGGCTGACTAATCTATTAACATTCTTTTCATCTGTTTTCGAATCAGTGGACGACAGGCACGATTATGATGTGGTATACCTCGACTTTAGCAAAGCCTTCAACAGAGTCCCCCACGAAAGACTAACACATGAAATGGAGGCTCATGGAATTGGAGGGGATATTCTAAAATGGATTGGGGCTTGTTTACAGGACAGGAAACAGCGAGTGAGCATGAACGGAACTAAATCAGATTGGGGTAACATGACTAGTGGAGTACCCCAAGGCTCAGTACCTGGACCATTACTGTTTATTATATACATAAATGACATAGATATAGGCGTAGACAGCCAACATAAGTAAGTTTACTGATGACGCTAAAATAGGGCATGCAATCAAATCTGACGAAGACTCCGCAAAATTACAGAAAGATCTAAAAAAAAATTTCGAATGGCCTGAAAAATGGCAGATGAAATTCAATGTGTACAAATGTAAAGTACTTACTCAAGGAAATGTAAACAGAGAGACCAGATCAAGAAATCCAACTGTTAGAAAAATTTAGGAGTAATGATAAATGGGAATCTTAAACCAAGACAACAATGTGTATTTGCTCGAAAAAAAGGCTAGCAAAGTACTTGGGCTCATACAAAGGAGTGTTAGTTACAAGACTAGCTAGGTTATCCTAACGCTATAACTTGTGCTTGTGAGACCTCACTTGGATTACGCAGTTCAGTTCTGGTCACCGTACTACAGAATGGATATAGAATCTCTAGAAAGAATTCAGGGGAGAATGACAAGATTAATCCCGGGCATTAGGAAGCTTGAGTACAGAGACAGGTTAAGGCATCTTAATTTGCACTCCCTCGAGAGACGTAGAAGGGGGGTGTGATATGTTCGAGGTGTATAAATGGAAGTCAGGGTTAAACAAAAGTGATATAACAAAGGTACTCAAACTACCCAGCCAAGAACGAACTTGTAGCAATGGTTTTAAATTAGACAAATTTTGATTTAGGTGCAAGATAGGTAAACATTGATGTGGAAATAGAGTAGTGAATGAGTGGAACAAGTTACCAAACATCATCATTAACTTCAGTATGTTGGATAGCTTCAAACATAGGTTGGATGGATATTTGAGCAATAGGGATTGGGTGTAAACGGGAGCGCCCAGTATGGGTCAAAAGGCCTGCTGCAGTTTCCTCCATTCCTATGTTCTTATGTTATCTCTGCCTCTCTTTCTCATCTCTCCCTCCCTATCTCTCTCATCTCTCCCTCCCTATCTCTCTCATCTCTCCCTCCCTATCTCGCCTCTGCCTCCCTATAGGCACACTTACCAATGATAGTGAGACACTTGAGGATGATGGTGTGAGCGGTAAGGTTGAGGTGTGAATCTGGGTGCACCAGGCCGGCCAACACGTATGTCCCTCCTGCCCTCAGCGCCCTCACACCTCGCGGCACAACCTGCAATCACCAGCAGTAAATAGACAGACAGACAGACAGACAGATAGATAGATAGATAGATAGATAGATAGATTTTTCAGTTTAAATGTCATAGACGCCTATAATTAAATCAGCATGTATATAAATACTGTAGGTATACAGTTCAACACACACACATTATATATATATATATATATATATATATATATATATATATATATATATATATATATATATATATATATATATATATATATATATATATATGCAATTGTTATAGACCGTTTAGGTAGACAAACAGTGTACCTAGACAGTGCTGCGGGTATACAACTATAGTAAACAATAAGGCAGTTCGACCAAGGGTAGCCAACTAAGCCATGAGATGCTCATTGTTTCCTGTAGTATCGGCTAGTTCAGATACACAAAGGCACACACTACCGACATGCACATAGGGAAGACAACCAATAAAATATACACAAAAGGAACTGGAGTTCAGTCCTTTATGATAAACTCTAATTAGTGAAAATATCTGGGCAGGTTCCGACAGCTTGTTATGTAAATTCTTAAATGTACACACTGAACCTTCTATAAACTGCAGCCAGTCGCAAAGCCTTAACAATTGTCATAATGATTAGACATAAGAGAGCCGGGTAGTTTATATATTAACTATTTTATTTATTTATTATCGCCTTGGTACTTAACACATGTACTGTACACTACCTGTTTATTACCACAAGCCTCGAACACTACGTCTATACTGTCCGCCTGGATCAGTTCCTCCTCTGAAATGGAAGAAAATGAATTAAAGAAAACGTACATGACTGAAAGCAATGTTAGGGCCAACTTTTATTATCTGTACTTCGCATTCCTATCCATCTATCTCCTGAGCTATCTGTCGCTGTGGAATATGGTATGGATTAGATATAACGTAAGTGACTAAAGGATGTGTTAGGGGCAACCAATGAGAATGGTAAATCTTATGGAGACTGACGCCCCCTTTGACTTTAACTACAAGAGAACATAGAAATATCCGACATATAGATAGGCAGATAAATATAGGTGAAATAAAGATAGATAGGTAGGTGATAGATAGGTAGACGTGTGGATTAATAGATATACAAACACAGAGAATGATCTTCAGTAAATTCGCCATACCATTTCATATTAGTTCATCATGTACGATTGTAGGTAGTGTGTGCGTATAATGTATAAAAAACAGTCTAATGTATACATAACATAGTACGACTATAAATAACATCAGTATATCAATGTATAATAAACAGTGCAGTAAACAATATATAAACATATACAAGAATAAATATATACGATGTATAAATAAACATGAGTATATACAATGTATACATAAACAGTGCAAATACAATGTATACATAAACATGCAGGTATACGATGTATAAAATGCAGGATATACATGTATATAAACAGTGCAGGTAATACAATGTTACATAAACAGTAGGTATACGACGTATAAATAAACATTGCAGGTATACAGTATACATAACAGTGAATATACAATAACATAGGTATATACAATTTATACATATACAATTATAATGTATAAATAAACAGTGTATATACAATGTATACATAAACAGTGCAGGTATATACAATGTATACATAAACAGTGCAGGTACGATATATAAATAACGTGAGGTATATACTATGTATACATAAACAGTGCAGGTATATACAATGTATACATAAACAGTGCAGGTATATACAATGTATACATAAACAGTGCAGGTATATACAATGTATACATAAACAGTGCAGGTACACGATGTATAAATAAACAGTGCAGGTATATACAATGATACATAAACAGTGCAGGTATATACAATGTATACATAAACAGTGCAGGTATATACTATGTATACATAAACAGTGCAGGTATATACAATGTATACATAAACAGTGCAGGTATACAATGTATAAACAGTGAGGTATACATAAACAGTGCAATACTATGTATAAATAAACAGTGCATGTATATACTATGTATAAATAAACAGTGCAGGTATATACAATGTATACATAAACAGTGCATGTATATACTATGTATAAATAAACAGTGCAGGTATACGATGTATACATACAGTTCAGGTATGCAATGCATACATAAACAGTGCAGGTATACGATGTATACATACAGTTCAGGTATGCAATGCATACATAAACAGTGCAGGTATAATATGTATACGTAAGCAGTGTAGGTATACATAAACAGTGATGGTACATAATGTAGGTATACGTAAATAGTGTAGGTATACAATGTATATATTGTATACATGAACAGTACAGGTATACAAACATTGTATAAATAAACAGTGCAGGTATACAAACATTGTATTCATATACAGTGCCGGTATATAAATAATGTATACATAAACAGTGCCTGTATACAAACACTTATATATAAACAGTGCACACATTCAAACAATGTATACATAAATAGTGCAGGTATACAAACAATGAATACATAAAAAGTGCAGGTATACAATGTATGCATAAACAGTGCAGGTATGCAATGTATACATGAACATCGTTGGTGTACAAAAGTATACATAAACAGTCCAGACATATATGCGTTGTATACATAAACATTGCAGGTATACAAACATTATAAATGTAGTGCAGGCATATAGACATTACTACAGGCATTTAAACAATTTATAGTTGTTTAGAAACTTTAGATAGTGTAAGTATACAAATAATACACAGAGACAGTGCAGGAATATGAACATTGTACTATACTTAGTACCGTACATAAGCTGCAAGTATACAAGGTATGTTCAGTCCGTAGAAATTACAAATATACAAACAATGTGCGTATGTAGACAATGTAAAAAACATATGAATTATATAGACAATGCAAGTATACAACAACCTATAGTATATAAAAAAAATATCTGCCAGGATGGGTCTTACTACATTTGGTAACCTAACATCATATTAATTACGCTGAAATAAATACACATTGCATTAGTTATGGTAAACTATATACCAAAGTAAATGTATGTCCCAATATCTGTTATTGGACAAAGGAAGGCTATTGGTAGGAGAATGAATCGTGGTGAAGTTTACCTCCGAGATTATTATAAGGTATTGGCCGGTAGGGTTAAGACCGAGATAAGAAAAGCAAAGAGGAATAATGAACTGAATGTAGCAAGAGAGGCGACGTCAAACCCCAATTGATTATTCCAAATGTATCAAACAAAAACACGAGACAAGATCGGACCAATACAGTCAGATACCGGCGAGCTAATTGATAACGACGGGGAAATGAGCAATAATCTAAACAAATATTTTTCATAAATTTTCACAACCGAAAATTTAAACATGATACCCGAGGCAATGACTATCTACAGAGGTACGGGAGAAAATAGATTAAGCAAGACAGTAATAACGAGTAATCATGTTAGTAAACAAATAGAAAAAACTAAAGCCTAAGTCAACAGGTCCCGATGAGATATTTGCCAGAGTATTAAAGGAATGTAAGGAAGAACTTAGTATGCCCTTATAGTAGCAAATTTGTTTAACATGTCATTAAAAACAGGTGCAGTACCAGAATCCTGGAGGATAGCTAATGTGATATCCGAGTTTCAGGAAGGCAGATAGATTACTATCCTTTAACAACTGACCAATCAGTTTAACATCAATTGTAGGCAGGTTGATGAAGCAATAATTTCAAACTCCATTCGAAATCACCTCTCGAAGCACAAGTTGATCAATGATTCTCAATATGGCTTCACAATTGGGCGTTCATGTCTGACAAATCTTTTACTATTCTTTTCAACTGTTTTCGAATCAGTGGACGACGGACACGATAATGATGTGGTATAACTCGACTTTAGTAAAACCTTCAACAAAGTCCCCCACGAAAGATTAATACGAAAAGTGGAGGCTCATGGAATTGGGGGAGATATTCTAAAATGGATTCGGGCGTGGTTACAGGACAGGAAGCAGAGAGTGAGCATTAACGGCACTAAATCCTATTGGGGTGACATCACTAGTTCAGTACTTGGACCATTGCTACATAGTATATACATAAACGACAAAGATATAGGCATAGACAGCAAACTAAGTAAATGTTCTGATGACACTAAAAGGGGGCGGAACTACATGAAGATCTAAACCAATTTTTCACATGATCTGAAAAATGGCAGATGAATTTAATGTAGACAAATGTAAAGTACTTAGTCTAGGAGATGTAAACAGAGACAACAATGAGTATTTGCTCGAAACAAGGCTAAAAAAGAACTTGTCTTCATACTAATGAGTGTTAGTTACAAGACTAGTGAGGTTATTCTAAAACAATATCTTCTGATTGTGAGACCTCACTTGGATTACACAGTTCAGTTCTGGCCACCGTACTACAGAATGTATATAGAAGCCTTAGAAAGAATTCAGAGGATGATGACGAGACTAATCCCGGGCATTAGGAACCTTGAGTACAGAGACAGATTAAAAAGCATCTTAATTTGCACTCCCTCGAGAGACATAGAGTGAGGGGCGATATGATCAAGGTGTATAAATGTCAGTGTTCTTTTATTCAAGTCTATGGTGAATCCACCAACACGTGCCCAGAAGTCCATACCCAGTA